TTATACACATTATACAATAATAATAAAATAATAATAATAATAATAATAACATACATAGTTTAAGAGAACTAGAAATTAAAATTACCCATCCAGGAGCGGACCGGTCCTCGGGCTCATGTGGCACTTACGGTTCTACCCAACTCCTTAAACCATTGCTGCGATACCATATTGTAACGCCCCCATCCTGATCATATTTCTACTACTCAAGTAAGGTACTAGACGAAGCGCGTTATGCTCGACATACCCTAAACTCTAAGTAGTTCTCTTATGATATTCTTAGAACTTTAACGAGTACATTATGTATATAGCTCCTTAAGATAAAATTTACATAACATAATTAAATACATCAATAAAATATTACGAGCAATATTCAATTTCTCACGAACTCTATACCCTAAATTTACGGATAAAATAAAAACTAATATATGGTGCCTCATATGAGCCGGTTATGAGGAGCCGACCGCATCCGTACCAACTTATCCTTTTTCCGTCAAGACATAAAAAAATAACAACGAGGTGAGCCAAAGCTCGGTAAGCGAGGTGATGCACGTAATATGCAATGTTGTTTTGACTTCCTACCGTACTAATAAATTTTAATCTCGGATACCCTAGGTATTAGCCAATCTACTCTATTTATCATCCGGGTGGTCCACGGATCACCTTCTGCTACAACGGAATTATCCCTCGTTGTAACTACCGTTAGCGGGAATCCATCGTCTAACAAGGTGCAAGCATACAGACTTGATTCCATCCAAATGATCCTCGGATCATCTTCTCGCTACAACAAAATTATCCCTCGTTGTAACTACTATTAACGGAAATCCATCGTCTAATAGTGCGAGCACACGACCTAGAGTACTTGGACTACTAATACCCATTTATTCCAGTTAGGTTATCAAACCCGGATATATAAATCATTTCTCAATCAATTGACTTGTCTTAAACCACCCACTATGCACATGATGCAATGATGACATATTTAATCACGTTCAACCAAATTCGGGTACCAACCCTTCATTCTTATGCCATACTCACGGTCCAACCCACACTCGAAATTTATCCATTGCTCACATACCAATCATGATACCCACAACGGGAACACAATCTCCGCTCATTAATATTGTTCATTAGTTTCATTAATATTTAAAAGAAGGTCCAAGTCCATTTACTTTAATTCGAGCCCATTAACTTTATCCTAGGTCCATTGACACTATTTAATTCCATTTTATTTAGTCCAAGCTCATTTAGTTTATTCCAAACCTATTAATTTTGTCCAAGTCTAATTTTTTTGGTTTTAGGGTTTATTACCGAGACAACTCCTAATCGAGTAAATAATTTTCTAATTTGAGAACATAATTAAATCTTACTCATTTTATTTTAGATAATAGACATATTTATTTATAACATATCCAAAAATTAGGGCTAAATACCAACTACATAATTAATTATAAATTTTTGAAACTTAGGGAGCAATCTGCCTAATAGTAGTTTGTCTAGAGCTATCCATACTAAATCGGGTGTAACTCTTTGTACACGAATCCAATGACCAAGAAATTTTAAAGGAAGTTAGTTGACACATGGATGAACAACTTTTATGCTTTAAGTTTCACCTAGAAATCGATCTAAAAATCCTTGAACATACACCCCAAAATTCGGACAGAATTTACTCCTTATCAACACTAATTTATTAGTTCATTCTAAGCCAACTTTAAACATGTTTTAGTTCACTTAAATTTAGTCCAAGTTCAATCAAACCCATCACCACATACTTGGACATTTTTCAAAACATCATAACATCATAAATCATCACAAAAAGGCATCCATACATAGATTTATCCCAAGCATCAAGCATATAACCATTGAAAATTATTACAACCCATGAAATAAACACTAACAAAATAACTTAAAAATAATAATTTAAGACATTAATCAGCCAAAAAAATGAAACCTACTTACCTCTTTTAGGTTTGATTAAAATTTCCTTAGCTCTTTTTCTTTCCTTTTTCCCTTTCTCTTTCTCTTTTTTTCTTTCTCTCTTTTTGCTGTTTTTCTCTCTTCAATTTGGCTTCTCTTTTAATTACGGATGGCTACTTGTTTTTGGCCTAAAAATGGCAGCCATTTAACTCTCTCTTTCCCTTATATACTCACCTTTTATCCTCTCATTTATTTATATCATAAGTGTTAAAATTTAACTAGGCCAAATGTAAAGTGGAGGAAGCTTGGAAGGCAAAGCTGGCATGTGTTTGGAAGTCAAAGGTGATGATTTGGCTTCCAAGCATTTAATTCAAGTGCTTAGGTGGCTAAAGAAAACTTAGGCTAAATAAACACATTAATAATCTGGGTTCATGTAATTAAACATAATTTCTTTCATAAAAAATTCAAAAAGTTTCATTTTTAAAATTCGGAATTTCTTTTTTCTCAAAATTTCAGCAATGTTACCTCCTAACCCATCTATACTAAAATGTGCATAACTCTTTCTATATGTATCCAAAAATTATGAAATTTTATAGAGAGCTAGTAAACACATAGAAAAAAAACTTTTATTCTTTAAGTGTTTCTCAAAAATCAATCTAAAAGCATCAAATAAATATCACAAGATTCGAGCAGATTCTTCTCCCAAAATTCCAGCAGAATGCATTTCGAAACAACCCTCACTATAATTGGTATAACTCTTAATATATAGGTCCAAATATTATAAAATTTTATACAGGCCTATTCAACACATAGATGAACAACTTACATTCTTTAAGGTTGATCCAAAAATTACCCTAAAGTCCTCAAATAATTCACACAAAACTCGGCAGAATATAGTCCTTAAAACACCGATTTTGCATATTTGATTTCTTTAATAATTAAACCATTAATCTTAAGCACAATAACTTTAATTTAACATAAATCATATATTTCAAGTATTAATTTCTCATGATGAAATGAGAATTATACTTACTCTTAATATACATATATATATAGAATTATTCTAATACACATCGCGTTACGGATAAGAGTTTTTTCTAGGGTTACACTCGAGTGACATAAGAAATAGTAATTTTCATTAATGAAATATAAGATAAAGAGTCATTTGGACTCTCTAGTATTGAAGAGTCAAAAACACTATGTATCTCACTTTTAAAGATAAAGATTGTGATAAAGAGAACATTGACGATAGAATTTAGGTCAAACATCTTTATTATAAAGAAAAATCTTAATATAATGAGAGCATTGAAGATGCTCTAAATAGTGAATATTGAATTTTACGTAATTGGCAATCGTTATGAGTATAGAGATTCAAATACAAATAATGCTCATCGGTAAATGTATGTGACTGAAAATTGAATAAACTTATGCAAATATATATATATATATATATATATATATATATATATATATATATATATGTCACTCTGTATACATCACCTAAGTTAGGCGCTGTTTGATATATGAATTTTTCAATTTTTTTTTATATAATGTGATCGCTGAAAATATAATATTTGTAACTAGATTGGAAAGAAAATTTTTCAATAATATATCTTTATTGTATTTGATTTGTCCTTAAGAATTTATGAAGAATTTTAACAAAATTATTGTTTTAACTTTAAAACCCACAATATTTAAATTTAATATTTTATTTTTTGTTTAAACATTATACATATAAAAATACATGTTACCAATGTTAAAAACTAATATATTAAAAGGATTCAACTACAAAATTAATTTTTTGTATAATTTTTTTTTCTTGATAAAATTTTAATTATCGAGTGGGTTGATGTTCGCTAAAGATGTTTGAAAGTATTGGGACTTATTATCTAAAACAATTGTATTACTATTAGTAAAAATTTAAAAAATATCAGTTCAATTAATATTAATAATAGGGGTATTTAACTCCAAAATCTATTTAGATTGTGATTTTCATAATTTTATAAAGGAATCACATTTTTTGTTTCCAAGAAAATATCGGATTCTCGAGCATTCAAAATTTTCTATCACACCAAAACTCGAATTCAAATCTTAAATGAGTTGGTGTGGTCTTGTTTACATGTTAAAGTTTTTTTTTTGTTTTTGGTTTTTTTGTTTTTCTTTTTTCACAAGAGCCATTAGAATTCAAATCCAAAGCATGAATGGTGAAATGAAATTCTTTTGAAATCTTAATTTACATAAAAAAAAATGTATTTATAAATTTCATATAAGGTTTACCCCATATTTAGACCTTGTATTTTTTGAATTTTTTTTATATTGAGATCCTGTATTTTTTTTTTACTTGATTGAGACTCTCTATTCTTAGAGATTTATTAATTCGGACCTTTCGTTATAACTTTATTAACTATTTATCTAACATTATAAGTTAAAGTTAACGACAATCAATAACCGAACGACATGTGACGTAATGGGTTCTAAATAATAGTTTTTCAGTCCAAAATTGAAAAAAATATATAATAATAATAAAATTACAAAAAATAGAAAAATACTAAATCACCCCACCCCCATTATCTTCAAGCCCTATTCTTTTTCCTTCACAAATCCATTGTTTCGCTCCTCACCGACATTAATCAAACCTTTTAAGTTCAATACAATTTGTAATTGAAAGAATAATGGAACCCGAGAGACTAATATGTAAAAAAAAAAAAAAAAAAAGAAAAAAAAAAGAGAAAACAAACTTGGTCTTGTAACAAATCTTGAACGAAGCAAATAGAATTTTTTCATTGTAACCATTTCTTGACAAATTAAGAAATTCAATGCTTTGCAAATCGATAATGACTTATGGTATTGACCCAAATAAAGCACTAGTATTCAAATTCGTCCGTCAACTTTAATTCCACCACCCACAACAAGTGCTACCTTCATGATAACACCAGCTAGTCGTCATAACATTAGCAAAAACAACAACACAAACCACCAACAACGTCAATAAGAACGGCCACCAGCAATGGTAGAGTTAGCAACGACGACCACTAGCCATGGTAACAACAACAATGATATAGATACCAACAATAACCACAACAAACACGACTCAAACTCAAAGAAGCTTCGTAGGAAACATCTTGGACATTTCTCGACCCAATAAGCGAGATCCTTCCAACCAAGCGAGATCCATATAACAATCCAAAATTTGAATCCTACGACAATAATAATTTAGTCCACATGGACCCACCCATAAATCACATCACAAATTCTACAATCACACAAATAACACAATTCAAACTTAATTTTCTTTGCATTTGCTTCACTTCCTCATTAACCAAACATAGTGTATAAAAAAAAGTTAAAAACTTATTACCATTTATGAGATGAGTTTACATCAATTCCTCTTCTCTTCGATAAATCCACGTAAAACAACATACTTCGTGAAAACGAAACAATCACAAAACCACCGCAACATCAATAAATTAATCCAAGCTATGGTGTCTTTGATTACGAGAGTTTGTGCTCGCTCTCTTTCTAATGATCCATCTCGAAGAGTTCTACACATTGATTCTACCACTATAGAATGTGAGAGATTTGAAGAGTTTTGAGAGTTGCAAGCAAAATTATATATACATGTAAAAAAAAAAGATTTTTATAGATTTAGGGATTTAGATTTTCTTGAGAGAGAAAACAAGTTTGAGAATGAAAAATAGGAAAAGAGAATGCAAAATGGTTTTTTTTTTTTTTTGGGATAATAGGAAGCAAAGTTGTCTTGTCTTAGTATTTTTTTATACTAATTATTAGTTTATTAATTAAAATATTTTAATTTTTTTTTCAATTTCGGATGGAGAAACTATTAATTGAGACCTATTATGCCAAGTGTTGTTCAATTTTTGGTTATAGTTAACTTTGATTTGCCACGTCGGATGAATAGTTAACGACATTATAATGGAGAGTCCGAATCAATAAATCTAAAAAATAAAATGTCTCAATGAAATTAAAAAAAAACTCAATTAAAACAAATTCAAAGAGTACAAGGTCCGAATGTAGGATAAACCCATTTTATATATACAAACTAAGTTAAAGATACAATTTAAGGGAATGATTGAGATCTTGGCTCAATATTGTTATTGTCACTAAAAAAAATAAAATCTTAAACAAAAGATTATACTTTACAAAAAAAAAAAATTCTCATGAGAATTATAACTTTGAAACCATGGAATAATTTATATTACTAAGAATAACGAAACAATTAAAAATAAATTTTTTTGCAAATTATAAAACATATTAGTTCAATGTATATTAAAGAAAGGTTGATTATTCACTTTTTTGTAATATATTTAATCTCTTTCACCTATACGTGAGGGAGCTCGTTTACACACAAAATAATGAATATTTATCATAAATTGTGATAGAAATTAAATTTAAACATTCAATACGAAAATTGAAAGTTTTTATCACTAAACCAAATGTCAGTCTCGTATAGATTTACTATTATTATTTGAATGATTAGAATGAAATTGGAATCCAAGATTTTTTTTCCTACAAGAATACGGCAATACAAAATACTTACAAATAGCAAAGTATAAATAATAATAATAATAAATTTGTAGTTTAATGAATATTTTTAAAAGAATGAAATGTCGAATTACATAAAAGGTATATTTTTAAAACATACATGCTTGAAGAATGAATCAAATTTTCAAATATCTCCTTACCCTTGCTATATTTTGGAAAAAATAAAATAAAATTAGTTAACATGTTTACTGACATGAATTGATAACTGGATGCATCAAAATACTATTTGTACGGCAACGGGAAGCAGTCGTGCACAGCAGGAGACCATCCTGATTGAAAAAAAATAAAAAATAAAATAAATAAAGGGACAAGATAGTAAAAAAAGGAGAGATGCAAAAAGACACAATTAAATAACCAACAGCAGCATCATGGGCTTTTGCAGTTGAAACTGTCATCCATTTTAAAGCCAAAAATCTCATTGGCATAAAGGAAAGAGAGAGAAATGGAATCACACTCACAAAACAAAGCAAGCAAAGAGAGAAAGAGACAGAAAGTTACCCATCAAAAGAAATGATACTACGGCAACATAACCCTCACTGTTAGCTACTCCTATATTAGTAGCTCATTTTCAGTCTTCCTCTCTCTCATTATATTCAGTGAGAGAGAAGGAAAAAAAAAAAAAGGACGGGAAAAAGAATCCATCTTTCTCATTGGGTTCTCTTTGATCTGATTCCCTTTCTTTTTGACTTGTCTTTCATGATGGGTTTTGTGTGATTTTTACTTTCTTTTTTGACATCTGGGTTTTTAAAGAAGTAGAAGATTTTTATGTTAATGGGTTCTTCGTTTCTTGGTACTTTCTTTCTCTGTTTTTTTTCCTTACCATTTTTTTTTTTGCTATTTGAGTTTTTTTTTTTGTTGTTGATATATGTTTCTGCTGTGTATTATTTATTCTTTTCTGTGTGTCTTGTGTTTACTATAAGCCTATAACAGTGTTTTGTTGTGTGCGAGCTGGATGGAAGTGGAATTTTGATCTGTTGAATGTCCTTGTATAAATCGTGCTAAAATGTTCTCAAGCTATAACTAACATGCCAAAGAATACAAGTGAAGGTTCTAATTGGTTTATGAGTCATTAACAAATACGTTATTAATATGTAAATCTCATGTCATTAAATGCAAATTATTGGGGCTTAGTGGTTTCTTTTTATCTTCTTCTTCTTTTTTTTTTTTAAAGAATTGGTAGTTTATAATGCACATGAGTCTCATCATCTAAAAGCTTAAAATTTGATACGATATGAAGGCATGATAGCCATCCCTTGTGGCTTGAAAAATGAGTCTGCTTTCTTTTGTGGGTTGGATGTCATTGGGTACTATTCGGGGCTGGTTGCATGAATGGGAAATTTGAGAGAGCATCAGTTGCCCAAGTGTTAATGGAATTTGAATGTCCTTCGTTAAGCCATATATTGGTTTTCAATGGCCAAATTTCATGCCCTTGTATGCATTGGCATCTACAAATTTGAACTCTTATCTCCTGGCGAATAGTGATCTAGGAGTTACTAGTAGAGTGAGTCAGATTATATATTTCCATGGTCTGGGACATGCATAATTGTTGGTGGTACTGTTAGTTCTTGGTGTGCTGAAAACAGGATTTGTGAGTCTGTAAGGGTATCAGGTGATGATTTCGATTGTCCAGCATGCAGTTGATATGTACTTCATTTCTCATTTTGTATATAAATAGTTTCTCCAAAGCTTGTGAATGATTAGTGCCGCTTAATATTCATATTGATTTTGCAAGTGCTGTAAGCAGGGGAAATCGTATTTGATTGGTAAATGCCAGTTACTTGATTGATGCTGTGCATCTCATAACTAGCAATTCTTTTGAAAATGCAGGGACGGTGAACGGATGGTTCTTATTGGTGCTGCCCATCTCACAAGTAGAAATTTTCTTTTGAATTTGCTGGATGGAATATAAATTTCAGAGACAAATCATCACAAAGGCAGCCTTTTAAGGATACAATATGTGGTGTGATATGATTGACTTGTTAAATCCTAACAAGAAGATGTTGATGCGAGGAGATTTTGATTTGAACTCTGTACAGCGATATGCAGATTCATTTCAAGAAGTCATAAAGCAGACAATCCTCAAGCAGGAGGTTATATTTAGGACTCAGGTATAACCTCAACATAGCATCGTGATAAGTTTTTAGCTTAATCTGGTACCATATGATTCCTTTGAGTCTTGTTATGATGTTGGGTCACTTCTGTTATGCGTAGCTTGGATTTCTTGTTACTTGTGCTTAAACTAAGTGGAGTTCTGAGGTTTTGGGTTATACTTGCTAAGTATGGCTTGTGTTATGGGTGAATAATAAGTCATGGTTGATTGCATAAAGCATAGTAGTTTCCCACAATAATCTTTATCTTTATTGTTACTTGTATTTCTTCAGGTCCATGAGCTACATCAGTTATATAGGACACAGAAAACACTGATGAAGGATCTTGGTTGTACGGGGTGTGGTGGATACAACTCATGGGATGCAAATGTACAATCATTTCTACCACCTTTTACAAATCCCAAAAGAGTTGAACTGCTGGTGAAAGAAACAGGAAGTTCCTCAATTTCTAAGGTAAAGGAAGCCACCAACCATGAGATTGCTATCCAACCATGAGATTGCTATTAAAAGTGATCCTCTATGGAGGAGAGGTTTTTTCTTTTCTTTTCTTTTCTTTTTTTTTTTTTTGAATCATGATTTTTTTCTTTTGTGGCAAAAGCGCAAGTCTTCTAGGGCATGCCATATGCAAGTACAACTAATAACAATGGCAAAAAATGTTGGCAATTCAATTAGTCGAGACCTACTTGTAATTCCTTTCAATGGGCTCCTTGCTTTAATTTGGATTGCTTGTGGCGTGTTGATCCTTCAGAGAAGACGTGTTAGTTGTATCATCAAGAACAGGCATATTATGTGCCATATCTTACTATTGAAGACTTAGCTAAAATGCTTTAAAACAATGGTGACACATGCTTTTCATAGTGCTAATGTAAGGAGCTCGTCTTTCAGGTGGGTTCAACAACTTTTGCAAGCGAGCATTTGTTAGATGGGTGCCAAGACGCATTTTATAGGCTTAAGCAGAGGCATCTTGATCTTCATCTTTCTGCTGATGAATTCATCAACCATGTTGACGAGGATCTCCTAAACAAAGGACATGCTTGGAATCATCGTTTAGAAGAACCTGTAGACTTTAAGCACCCTCACTCCGCTAATCACTCTCCAGGTACAGAGGAGTTGAAGCTTTCCCTGACCACTAGAGATGATTATAGGAGAAAACAAGGTACATTGAGGACTTGGTTTGATAAGAAAACTCATCAGTACTGTTCTGTGATTGATTTGGAATCAGACGATAATGCAAAATGCACACCTTCTGTTGGCTATGCTGCTCCAGAAACTTATTCCTCAGGCAAGCACAAGTCACAATTTTCTGCCTTCTCTAGTTTAATCTTCTCAACTAGTGCACAGAAAGATCCATCTGTTGAGATTGCAGAAAACAATTCTTTTCAAGAACTTAGTGAATGCTACCAAGAGCAGGCCTCTTCTAATGAAGGTACTGATAATCATCCTCTTGAAAGCATTTATAGCATTTTGTGCATGAATTATTTTTCTGGTTTTTTTTACCTTGTGCATTAATTATATGCTTAACCACCATGTATTTAACTCTTTTATCGGTCTTGCAAACAGGAATTATGGAGTGCCATGATGATATCCTGCGTAATAATCTTTCAACCAAAATGCAACAGTCCACTTCACATCAAGGAGCTGATTTGGATCTTAACAAAGCTTACCTTGACGACTCATCATGTTTCTCAAATGATCCTCTATTGGCCTATCCTTCACCAGCCAGATCAGCAGGTGTCTCCGCCGTAGTTATTGAGAGCATGCAGGAAGAAACCTGCCCAACCACATTTTTGGAGAAACAGATCAATAGCTGCTCAAATGAAATTTCTGACATGGTTGCAGAATATAATTTCGTAAATGATACTCAAGTAGATCTAAACAGCACAACTAGGAGTACAGATGTTTGGACCAGAAATTCTGAGCACAATGTAATAAGTGGCAGTGTAGCGAACCTTACAGGCCCAGAGCCCATGTCCAGATCCCCAGTAGACATTTCTGAAGACCTTGGCAGCTACAGTGGCGACCACAATAATGATACTGTTGTGCTGAAGGCGAAACTTGCAAATTGTCTTCTACATGATTTAAATCAAATGCCTATAGCAACTAGAGAACTGAGCTCTGAGAAAAGCCAAGTGGAAGATGCAGTCTTTTCACTTATTGATCAGTGTCAAAATGATGGACATGGCAATCAATCTCCTGTTTCATGCAAGTCTGGCATTTATGATAATGATTCAAACAGTGGAAAGACAGTGCACTGTGGCAGTATGTCTGGTGATGCGAACACGGATTTGAAAACCCACTTAGGGTCGCAAGTTGCTGATGCCTCATCAGATGAGCATGACACAAGAACTTCTGACAGTTGTGATTTGAAAAATGAATGCTACAACAAGAAAGAAGAATCAGCTGAAGTGGATGTTTTGATGAAAAGAGCAGCTGAATCACTTGTAAATATCTCTTTGGAGAATTCAGTTTTCTATCAAGATTCTTCTGCCAAAGAAGGATCCAAGGAGACGAGGAACGAGACAAGGGAGCAGCCACAGTATACTTGTGATTCTTTCGAGCAAATGGTTATGGATCTAAAGGAGAGCAAAGTGGATGAAAATTCTGTGACATCAAAGCCATATGAAGTAAATGATGTGGAGACAAAAGATTTTGGTTCTAAGTTGAGACGGGGAAGGAGAATGAAAGATTTCCAAAAGGAGATACTGCCTGCTCTGGCATCTCTTTCTAGGCATGAAATTCATGAAGATATAAACATTATTGAGGGAGTTTTAAGATCAAGAGAATACCGCAAAATTAGAGGCAAGATGGCAACAAATGGAGAGAACTGGTCTCCAATGGTGAGAAGTAGACGGTCAAGACTCAATCATGTTGGACGGAGAAATTATTCATCAAAGTTCAACTAGAAGTCATTAACCGCGCGATAACTGACCACATCCATTCTAGGTCTACAGAACATCTTTGCATATATTAGCACATATGGTTCAATCTCATTTCCTAGCTTTAGAAACAGAATCCATTTACTTCAAATTGATGGTTGATCATCACATTTTGTTCCAATTCACTAGATCAATCTTCCTCTTCACGTCACCTATCTTCTGCACCTTCAATGCTTCTCTGTTATCCCTTTTTTCTTTCTTATCAGAGCAACTTTTTCATGTTTGTTCTCCCATTGTAGTATTAAGCAAAATGTTGATATTTTGCTTCTTTACTGATGGCAAAGAAAAAAGTTATTGATAGAAAATTTTACTGCTCGGTAAAGCTATTGATGTTTTTATATGCTACACTATTGGATGAATGGCTAAGGATATTTGTAGTTTCGTATGGTGCATTGCAATAATTGCCATATATATAATGATTAGCATCTGTAGTTTCATGTCTCATGCAGTATCTATGGTTTCTATGCGGTTTAAATTTTTAATGGAAAAAATTACGGGGTTGTGGCAAATTTAAAGATTTTTTTTGCAATATCTGTTGTTTCATGCCCAATTTCTGACCGCTGACCGCACGGATCTGGTCTGTCCTAGCCGGATTTTGTATAGTAAAAAGTTGGACCGGTTCATGTTATGACCACTGGTCCAACCAAAAGTCACTGCCTTTGATTTTGACCCATAGACTGAATAATTTACCATGGAAAGGGCATGGACTCATGGCAAATGTCCTGCCTTGGCTGTTATGACTATTGCAAGCGCTTGCCATAAAACTTGTATGTCTTACGACAAGATGGCTCTGCACTTCAGTTTGCTAGATGTCAACAGTTTTGAAAAATAAAAAATGGAATGTGATACAAGAGAGAGAAGGAAGGGGCAGAAAGAATCAACTGAATTGGGAGGAGAAGAAACGGGTTACAAAATTCCAAATTGAATTGGAAATTCTTCAAATAATACCCGAAAAGGATTTTATGGAATGGACTTAAATTACTTGGGCTAGTTTAATTGTTAGTTGAACTTGGGCTTTAGGCTTTTGGACTGGTCATAATAGGTCTGGATATCATAGTCTTTTAGTTTTGTTTGTGCTACTACCTAAAAGAATTATTGTTATTTGCTTTGTAAAGTTGCCAGATGTTTTTATCCTTTACAATATAAAAACAAACAAATGAAATGAAAGGGTACATATTTTTTCATAACAAACTTTGTCTCTCTCATTCTTCTCTCTCCTTCTCTCATCTTCTTCCTCGTCTCTTTTTTCCTCTCTACTCTTCCTTCCTCAAATCCCTTAATGCAGTTATCTCTGTATCACTATATCAAAGCTATTGATTCTCAAACCTTACCACCATGACCAAAAATGCAAAGCTTGATGACTTGAACAATGTTAACATCCAATTTTTGTTCATATTATTTTTATTTTTATTGCAAAAATATATAAAAAAAAAAAGAGAAAAGAAAAGGATCAAATAAAAAACAATTAGCTTAGATTAATTCTAGGAAGGATGCTAATTAAAAAAATAGAAAGTTTGAAAAAAAGAAGAAGACAATTGAGGGTCTAATTAAAAAAATTCAAAACTTCAATCCCTTATTTAAATTAAAGAGGGGTACAATTGAAAAAAATAAAAAAAAGTCCTAATTAATTGAGATTAAGAGCCTTATCGAAATAAACAATCGAAATCGGACTTAAATTAAGGGATTATGGACAATTGAGGACCAAATTAAACGTTTTTCAAAAAGTTTAAAAATACTTATAAAAGCACTCTGCATTTTTTTGGTATGAAAGCACTATTCATTCACCATCTTTATCTAGCCGACTGCAACTACAAGGAAACTACCATCTCCCTTGCAAGCTCCCACTCACTCAAAGCTCTCCCTCTCTAATGTCCCCTCTCGCAACCTCACAAGCACCCCATAGCCCCTTCGCCTATATCCAATAGCCACAACCCTTCATCTTCTTCCCCATATTCGGTTGCAAAAAAAAAAAAAAAAAAAAAAAAAAAAGAAAAAAAGAAAAAAGAAGTAGCCACACATCATCCTCTTTTCCCACTTTTGATTAGAAGAACATAACCCACACCAAGCTACCAGCTCCTATTTGATCACTCACACCGGACAAACCATGCCAACCACACTCTATAGCTATCGAGGCCACCATCTAAACACCCTTCTTCTTCACCAGCCACCAACACCCAAAACACCCTCCTCTTTCACCAGCAAACCACACCAGCCACTATCCAAGCACCACTCCACTCGAAACACCATCCTCCTCCTTTGTAGCCCTCATCCAGCCATCTCATCTACCACCAAACCACTCCAACCCACATCTTTAAACAAACCCACCTAAAAAAAAATTCCTCATCCACCATCTCCGAAAAAAACAACAACTTGAAACTCATACTATCAGCCTCCTTCATCCTTCGATCAGCCACCACAGTGCCATAAACTACCCCTTTTACCAGCCACCACTCCACCTGAAACCACCACCACCCTCTCTGACCATGGCCCAAGAATGGCCTATCTCCACCCTTGCTGTCTCTCTCACTTTCCCTTCTCAATCCGTTATCAGTGAACGATCTTAAATGAATCGTTTTTGTTCTCTCTCGATCTTTACCAATGGAAAAGGAACCAGTTCGTATTCTCGTTACTAGAGCTGCAGGATAAATTAGATATATCCTTATCCCCGTGATTGTTAAGGAAGTGATGCTTGGTCCTAACCAGCCTGTGATCCTTCACATGCCTGATATCCCACCTGCAATCGAGGCATTCAATGGTGTGAAAATGAAGTTGGTAGATATTGCATTTCCTCTTCTTAAAGGTGTTGTTGGTACAAGTGATTTTGTGGAGGGTTGTACTAGGGTTAACATTGCAATAATGGTTGGTGGTTTCCTAAGAAAGGAAGGAATGGAGAGAAAATATGTGATGTGTAAAAATTTATCAATCTATAAGTCACAAGCTTCTATTTTTAAGAAGCATACAGCTACAAACTATAAGGTTTTGGTTGTTGCTAACCCAGCAAACACCAATACATTGATTTTAAAGGAATTTGCTCCATCTATTCTCGAGAAAAAACATTACTTTTTTGAGGAGACTGGACCATAATAGGGTGCTTGGTCAAATTTCAGAGAGGTGGAACATCCAATTCTCTAATGTAAAAAATTTGATTATTTGGGGGAATCACTCATTTACTCAGTACCTCGATATCAACCACACTACTGTTAAGACTCCAGTTAGGGAGAAACCTATGCGAGAGCTTGTTAAGGATGATGAGTGGTTGAATACAGAGTTCATCAAAATTGTTTAACAATGTCGTGCTGTAAAGATTAAAGCACGAAAGCTTTCAAGTGCAACATCTGCTGCTAGCTCTACTTGTGACCATAATCATGATTGGGTCCTTAGAACTTCTGAGGGCACTTGGGTTTTCATGGGGGTGTACTCTAATGGCTCATACAATGTACAAGTCCATCTCATTTATTCCTTCCTTGTAACTTGTCAGAATAGAGAGTGGAAAATTGTTCAAGGAAACTGAACATAATAGAACAAATTATTACTATGGAATATGGTTCTAGATAAAACAAAACCAAAAAGGAAGCTTACAAACAATTTTTTCCTTGAGGATGACCATTAAAGAGAAGGATAAGATCAAGCATGAAGCAACTGCATTTGTTTTGGTTTTTGATAGGAAAAACATAGGAGCAACTTTGTTGCTAAGCCTTCTCAAGTCGTATCAACTTTGGTAAATTTACAATAACTTTGGCAATTGCAGCAACCTTGACTACATGCACTAACTTTGGAGAGACTTTCGGTCACTTTAATAGGACTCATACAACGTCTTAACAACAAGTAATTGTTTTTCTTTTCGTCTAATTGAATATCGGTTATCACTAGAGACGAAGAGAGTGAAGCCGATCCTTAAATTAGACATTTGAACTACAATAATTTTGGTTAAAACTCTTACAACGATTGTACTTCTTCAAAATGTGAATGAAATTATAGTATTTTATTATTATATTTATGGTTTAAATGCTCGTTTGAGATCGAATGTGGTTGTAATTGCAATTACAAATGAATTATCTTGTTTAAGTATTTGTAGTTTACATGTGAGTTATTTTACCTATTTTTGTTTGTTTACTCAAAATAAAGCCACCAATGGCTTCCTACTTACGTGTTGAAATCGTCAATGGCTTCAAATCATTTAGCTTTTTTTTTTTTGTTCAAATTAAAGTAGTTAGTGGCTTTCGAACCAATTTTATTTAATTTTGAATTGTTATGGATAGAGTCATCGGTGACTTCTCACTTATATGATGAAGCCGTTAATGGCTTTAAAGTCATTTTACCTATTTTTTATTTGTTTGAATTGAAGTTTCTAGTGTCTCTCAAACCAATTTCATTTAATTTTGAATTTTTATGAATGGAGTCATCAATGGCTTTCCACTTATGTGTCGAAATCGCTAGTGGTTTCAAAGTCATTTTATGTATTTGCTAATGGCTCTCAAACCAATTTTATTTAATTTTGAATTATTATGGATAGAGTCGCCAACGACTTTATGCCAAAGTTACTAGTACCATTGAAGTCATTTTACTTTTTTTTTGTCTGTTTGAATTGAAGTCACTAGTGGCTCTCACAATAGTTTTATTTAATTTTTAATTATTGGGATGGAGTCGCTAATGGCTCTCCACTTATGTGATGAAGTTGTTAGTGACTTCAAAGTCATTTTACCTGTTTTTTGTTTGTTTAAAATGAAGTCGCCAATTGCTTGTTGAACCAATTTTATTTTAATTTTGAATTGCTAAAATAAAGTTATAGTGGCTCTTGAACTAATTTTATTTAATTTTGAATTGATGTGGAAGGAGTCACCGGTGGCTTATTCATGTAGGTGCCCTAGATCCAGCTTATTTGGATGGTTTGATTTATTTATAATAATGTATTTTAATATTAATAAAGAAGACTTTCTATTAATTATTATTATTCATAATTTGATAGAATTAGATAGAAGTCCATATGATATGCATTGCATTAATGTTTAATCAATAGATATGAGACGAACATCAATATATTTAAATGATATCATTAAATATCCTAAGTCGTAGTATAATCAAGAATGGACATTGATAATATGTGATAAGACTTGTGAGTGCTATGCTCTTACTATAAGATAGCAGTAGGAGATCTCACATCTACCGGCATGGTGATGTCAAAGCAAGCATTTAGGTGAATAATATCGGAGAACATATCACCTGGATGTGACTCACCATAAAAACCATTTGGTATAATCTATAAGAATCTCATACGAGATGGGTACAATCGGTCATTTGACTTGAAGTCATCACGGTTATCTCATTAGAAGATTTATGTACTTTGACATTCATTTTGATGGGTTTAGTAAAGAGTCTGTATATGAGTGATTTGTTAGGTATATTAGGAATCTAATAGAGATATATGGATGATTAAGTAGGACATGTCATTTTTTATATGTCGAAGGAGTTATTATATTGTAGTTCGATGAATGTCTACTCAAGAAATTTGTGACCACGAGTGAAAGTATACCAATAGAGCATAATTAGTTTATTTATGAGCTAAGACATTTAAAGATTGAAGAAAACTTATGATGTGATCATAATCGAATATACTTTAAACCAAGTCCGAGATCATACCGTGATAAATTGACATGAGGATCTGAATTGTATGAAAATCATTCTCGTAAAAGGTAATTACAAATTAACTAATCCTCTTAGAGAATTGGATAGTCATGATGCCTAGTTAGAGGCCAATCTTGATTTATGTATTAAGAGATAAAAGAGGTGTCTTTTATCATCTTGATACATTGTCAACATAACTAGGAGCCTATTGAGTCATATGCATAAGTTTAAACATTCACATGATAAAAGAGGCAAAAATTTTGAAAAACTTTTCTTGTTTTGGGAAAATTAGTTACCTAAAATGGAAAGTTAGTTTTTTATTTTAGAACTTAATTCCCTAATTTAGAAGTCGGTATCAAATTTAGAAGATAGTTACCTAAAAAAATTAGTTTCCTAATTTAGGTTTAAGAGTAATTTGAAAAATTGTTTCCTAATATGGGCCCTATTCAAATATTTGACATAATTTATTTGAATGATTTAAATTAATTAGCAATTAATTAAGCTAAAAGAGTTTGAGCTAATAGGTATAATTTAAAAGTTTGCAAGGTATTTTAGTGGGGCTTATTGCACCATACAAGCACAAACTATATAGCTTTTAACGTTTTTAGCACATTCTTTTCGATAATAGTTTTAGTAGGGGATTCATTTTTCATCAAAGGTTCTAAGTTCATCCGGCATGGCAAGACAAGTCGGATGACAGATTAGATAAAAATCCACATGGGATGACACATGGAAGGAATTATAATTCAATGATGATGGACGACATGTCACCTCGCTCACTTATTAAAAATCAATTCCTAAAACTAACTAACCTAATTCAATTCAAATCTTAAAAAAACCAAATCCTAATTTCTTCTCTTCTTTTCTCTACCCAATCGACGAACAAGCCGACCCAAATCCATAATCTTCTTCTCTTCTTTTCTCGATGAACATGAACTTTAATTTTCTTCTCTTTTTGGTGCATGATGAACAAGAGCCTTAATCTTCTTCTTTTCTTTATAGACGAATAAGAACTCCAATCTTCTTCTCTTTTTGTGAATGATGGACAAGAACTAAAACCCATACCTACATTTGTATACCTCTCATAAAACCCATAAATATTCATGCAAGTCCATTGATCATGAACCAAATCATTTTCCTTCATCAAATCTACCAATCTATTTGATTCCATTAAACCTAAAATTTACAAAGCGACCTTCATCCTTCACTCCTCACAATACCCATAAATCTTCAATAAGTACCTATTTCCTCATGAATCTTTAACTCTAAGGTTCCCGCTCTCTTTATCTATACTTGTTTTCATTTAATTTTTATGGATTTTCTTATTTATGTCTATTTTGATAATTTTGGGTTTTGATGCCTCTTTTTTCCCATGTAAATTCTTCAACCACATTGTGATGGATTAACTATATTATGATGGATCAACTACATTATGATGGATCAAAAGCCAAACTTGCATTACCCACATATGTATTTGTATAACTTTTAGAAAACCCATAAAATATGTCATATACGAGTAGTATCTTCAGCATGGATAAAGCTTTAAAAATATATTCTCCAACTTTCAAGACGCCTTTATACAAGCACATGATAGAGACAAGCCCGTATATTTCATGAACTCGAAACTAACCCGGAGAAGAAGTTCATTTGCTACTCGTATTGAAAGGTATTTATTGTTCTTAGTCACTAAAATTACTAAAATTTCTCCTCCGTTACATACACTATATATTTTATATTTTGTTTTCATGAAATATTACAACTTTCAAGTTGATAATTATGGGTTTTAAAAATGGATTGAAGAAGATCATATCGTTTATGGAGCTAGAAAGTAGTTGTAATTGAGATTGAAGAGTTGAAAGAAAGAATGGAGTTAGTTGAGATACTTGAAAGAGAAAATTCAAGTTTGATGGGAATTGAAGCAAAGAAGAGAAAGCAAGCTAAAATTCATTTGATTGAAGAAATCTATAAAATGAGATCTAAAATTATTAAAATGAAAATTCATATGCAAAGATTTGAGATTAGCATGTAGGAGTTGAGAAGGAAATTCAAAGTTGTTATTGTAACCCCCGTGAAAATCCTTAACTATAAAACGACGTATATTAGAATATATATATATATATATATATATATATATATATATATATATATATACACATATATTAAGTGTAAGTATAATTCTCATTACACCATGAGAAATTAATGCTTGAAATGTGTGATTTATGTTAAATTAAAGTTATTGTGCTTGAGATTAATGTTTTAATTATTAAAGAAACCAAATATGCAAAATCGGTGTTCTAAGGACTATATTATGTCCGAATTTTATGTGATTTATTTGAGGACTTTAGAGTGATTTATGGGAACTTAATAAAAAGTTGTTCATCTATGTGTCTACTATCTCTCTGTAAAATTTTGTGATTTTTAGATCTATACATAAAGAGTTATGACCATTTTAGTATAGATTGGTCTTGAAGCATCACTCGCTGGAATATTTTTTGGGGGAAGAAAATTTCGAGTTTAGGGAGAGGGATTTCTGAAAATTTAATAGAAATAAATATGGTTAGTTACTTGAACTAGATTGGTTAGGGTGTTTAGTTACTCTAACCAATTAATTAGGGCACCTAAACCCCCTAATTAATGAATTAAAGCCAACTCACTCTAAACCTC